TCAATATGTTTAGATCTGGCATGAAGCACAGGATTGCTGGATAAGGAAATTACAGACAGATTATCACACCAAAGGATGGGAGTAGGAACTGCAATATGAAGATCAGACAGCAACATTCCAAGCTAGCTCAATTCAGCAGCAGTTTGAGCAAGAGCTCTATACTCAGCTTCAGTGGAAGATCTAGACACGGTAGGTTGCTTCTTGGCTGACCAAGAAATCAAATTAGGACCCAAAAACCAGTGGTTAATCTTCGGTCAAGGGAACAACATGCCCAATCTGAGTCAGAAAAGGCAGGCAAGGTAAGAGGGCCATGAGTAAAATGGAGACCTTGATAAAGAGTGCCTTTCAGATATCTAAGAATTCTTTTAACCAAAGTAAAATGGCTGGTAAGAAGAGTCTGAAGAAATTGGCATACATGATTAACAGCAAAGGCTAAGTCAGGACGAGAAATAGTAAGATATTGTAAGGCACCAACAAGACTACAATAGAGAGAAGGCTGAGAAAAGGGTAAATCTACTTGATTAGTAGAAGATTTGAGAGGCAAAGGTGAAGGAGAAGATTTGCAATTTGTCACACCAACTTGAACCAAAATTTCAGTAACATACTTTCTTTGAGATAAAAAAATATCCTGAAGAAGAAGTAGTAACAGAGATTCCCAAAAAATAATTGAGCAGCCCCAATTCCTTCATAGAGAAGGTAAAATGCATCTGAGTAATGAGAGTAGAAATATAGGAAGAATCACTGCCTGTAAGTAAAATGTCATCAACATAGATTAAAAGGACAGTGATAGAGTGAGAAGTCTTTTTAACAAACAGAGATGAATCACAATGACTGGCCTTAAAACCATGAGTGAAAAGAAAGGAGAAAAAATTAGAGAACTAGGCCCTAGGTGTTTGCTTGAAGCCATACAAGGCTTTATTCAGTTTGCAAACTAAGGAATGATAATTTTGATCAACAAAACCAATAGGTTGATGCATGCACACCTCCTCCTCTAGAATACCATAAAGAAACGCATTAGAAATGTCGAGCTGTTTGATAGACCACTGAAAATGAAGAGCCAAACATAGGAGAATTCTGATAGTATTGTTTTGCTACGGGACTAAATGTTTCAAAGTAATCAATGCCTTCAGTTTGGAGAAACCCTTTTGCAACCAATCTGGCTTTATGCCAAGCAATAGTCCCATCAGAATTTTTCTTAAGTCGAAATACCCATTTGCAACCAATAGCCCTTTTGGTTGGAGGAAGATTGACCAAAGTCCAAGTACCTTGTCTGATCAAGGCAGTGTATTCATCCTTCATGGCAGCAGTCCAAGCACTGGATTGAGAGGCCTCTTGATAGGATTGAGGCTTAGTATGATCAGAAGAAGTGAGAAAACACTGATGCAGAGATTAGACCTAGTGATCATGGGATGAATGTTAGGAGGAGAAGTGAAGTGAATAGAATGAGAGGAAGGAATAGGAGGTAAAAGAACAGATAAAGAAGATATGGGAATTTGAGGCTCAGAAGTAGGCTTAGAGATAGAAGAAGAATGAAGCAAACCAGCAGATAGAGACGGATCAGCAACAAACTGAGGTAAACCAACAGACTGAGACAGAGCAGTAGCAGACTGAGCTGAAACAGAAGGCAGACTACCAAGAGGAGCAGAAGTTGTAGGAACAGATAAATTTACAGAAGGGACAGACTGATGGACAATCTGTGGAACAAAGGACTGATGACTAGACTGTGAGGTAGGTCTAGAAAAGGACTGAACAGAATCAAATTAACCAAAAACAATTGGAATTGGTGATTGTGGTGAAATTGGTGACTGTGGTGACTAAGCGGTAGCAGGAAAAACTACAGGAGAAGGCATAGATAAAGACTGATCAGACCAGAAAAATAAGCTCAGCTGGGACAAAGAAGTAGAGGCAGACTTAACTGATGGAGAAGAAGCAAAGAGAAAGACATCTTCATCAAAAACAACATGTCTGGAAACATGAATTTGTCCAGTAACAGGATCAAGACACCTATAGCCCTTGGTAGATGGAATGTAACCAAGAAACACACAAGGTACAGACCTAGGTTGAAGTTTATGTGAAACATAAGGTTTAAGCCATGGATAACATCTACAACCAAAAGTTCTGAGCGATGTATAATCAGGAGCATGGTGGTACAACATTTCAAAAGGAGTAAGAAAATTGATCTTAGCAGTAGGAAGTCTATTAATGAGAAAAACAGATGTGGCAAGGGCATCAAACCAATATGCAAGAGGAAATGAAGAGTGGTGCATAAGACCAATAGCGGTCTCTATGAGATGTTTATGTTTCCTCTCTGCTACTCCATTTTGAACAGGTGTGTGAGGACAATTTAACTGATGTTGGATGCCATGACTCTTCAAGAAATCATGAAACTTGGTGCCAAGATATTCACCACCATTGTCACTTCTTAACACTTGTAATTGAGTAGAAAATTGTATTTCAACAAATGCTTTAAATTCCAAAAATTTATGAAAAACTTCACTTTTATAATGAAGAGGAAACAACCATGTAAACTTGCTATAGTCATCAATGAACAACACATAATATTTTTATGAAGAAACAGATGAAGTGAATGACCCACATACATCAGAGTGAATAAGTGCCAATGGCTTATTAATTGTAGAATTAGACAAGCTAAAAAGAAGTCTATGACTTTTGGAAACACAACAATGTGAGCACATTTTATTATCAAGAACAGATGGAACATTTACAGATAAAGAAGGTAACAAATGATGTGTAGCAATGTGCTGAAGTTTCCTTGAAGAAGGATGGCCTAATCTAAAATGCCAATGAGAAGAATTAATAGTGGACTGAAAACAAGTTGGTGATGCAGATGCAGATGCAGAAGATGGAACAGCACTAAGAAGATGACAGAGACCATGGGAATGAAAGCATTTATATAGCACCTTCTTGGTACTCTTGTCCTGTATGATGAACATATCTTTGTCAAAAGTAATAGTGCAATGATTATCAGAAATAAGCTGAAGGATAGAAATTAAGTTGGAAGAAATGGAAGGTACATGAAGCATGTTTGAGAGATGAAAAGGAAATGATGGAGTAGGGAGAAGACCTTGACCAGTGTGATGAATAGGTAAGGCAGTTCCATCACCAACAGTGACCTGACCATGTCCATGATATGGTTGATAAGAAGAGAGATTGTGCAAGTCATTTGTGATATGACTAGTAGCTGCAGAATCTAAAAACCAGTTGGTAGGGTTAGGAGAACTGTCACCAGGAGAACCAGTTCCTCATCATCAACAGGTGATGCAGCTAAAGCCAATTAGCAATTGGCTTGATCTGAGTCAAATAGGTATCCATTGTGTGGCCTTTTTTAAACAATTTGACTAAGTTTATTCTTCAACTGATGAATATGTGATCGGGACAAAGATGTAAAACATTTGAGAAGAACACTCCACACTTCATGACTTGTGGAACAATGAAACACAGAAGTGAAGATAGATGGTGAGAGAGTAACAGTTAAGCAACTGAGAAGATGAGAGTCAATCAGCATCCAATTGGTATATTTTGGATTCAGAATCTCATGATTATGTTCATCAATGATAGTAGATGATGGACATACCTGTGTGCCATCAACAAAACTGAGAAGCTGTGTAGCTTTCAGAATATTGTGAACTTGATTCTTCCTGATAATAAAGTTTGTGGAATCAAGTTTGACATTTATGAAGGCATTCAGATTTGTAATGAGTAGTGCAAGATTTGGAGGTATGGAAGATGAAGTAGATGATACAGCAGAAGAGGACAGATTCAGAGATGGCATTGAAGACGCCATTGATGAATCCTCAAGAACCAATGCTCACAAGAGGCGATGGCTCTAATACCATAAAAGATATTTTGCAGAGATCAAAAATTTTCTATTAATTTGAATTGAATTACAATTACAGAGATGAAGATATTTATAAACTACACAAACTAACTCTGGTTCAAGCTAACTAATTCATAACAAACTAACTAACTCTAGTTTACTCTGTAGCTGCCTAACTGTCTAACTGATGCAATGACAATGACTTAGCCACAGCAGTTGCAGGTGCTGATGAAGCTGTCGATTGAGCATGTTGGCTGAAGCTTGAGCTGGAGCTATATTGTAATGTAGCTAAAGAAGCTTTATCATGGCTAGGCTCTTTATCAGAGATCTCATTCAAAGTCAGAGCAAACGCTCTATATAAGCTAACTCCAAAAAACTTATTACAACTACTGATCATTGAACCTAAGTATTTAAATGGCAGAGGGAGAATCACGTTTATTTCCTGTGCTTCAATTTCAAAAGCAACTTTTTTGTTTTGGTTTGTTGCTTCTGGGCACGGTTGGCGTTAAAAAGACCAATGGTTCAAAGAGCAGAAAGAAAGAAAAAGAAATGACAACCTCTAACAGTTAAGAAGGTGACCATCAGCATCAGTAGAGAGAGAAAGGCAGGCAATAGAAATGACTTAGCTATAGGCTAATTGCCATCAATTATGAAATTGACTCTCAACTTGTACATTTATATGTCAATTGTCAACGCTATCATTATCGCTTCGCTATTGCTAATCATGATCAAGATTGATGGCCTTTGGCTCACAAAGATGCTTCTTTTTCACTTGCCTCTCTCTTTCTCTCTCTCTGAAATGTGAAATGGGTAATAGAGAGAGAGAGAGAGACATACCAGTCATGTTGTGGCGGAGCCCATTGGCTAGGACCATTTTATCTTTACCAGTTGAGTGAGTCATGGGCTCACTCACCCCCACACCCTACCTGGGCAAATGGACAAAGGAATTGAATCAAAGTCACAAATGATCATTGACTATGGACACGATCTTGTTTTTCCTTTTTGGTTAAAGGTGGCCATGTGAGGCTAGTTGGGTTTATAATTGCTGTTAGAAACACCTTATCAAATCAAACAAACGGCAATTCAAAATGGGAGACACATTATTATTATTTGTTATTATTAATCAAAGATATAATGCATGCTTGACAATGCCACTACTCCATGATCTCACAATTATTCACTTTATTCATTCATATGTAATATTATCACCCAATATTATTGCATAATTCCTATCATAATAATAAACTATAACAGTGGTTAATTTCTATCATCGGTTTAAACAACAATATCGAAATACGTATCGTCCGATGTTGAAAAACTCTGATGATATATGTATTATACAGGAGTGTTGGACATATGGCATAGGGGATCGGTAGAAGACAAGGAAGATCGTGTGAAGCTCCAAAGGTCAAAATCGCCATTTTCATCCTGCGAAGGAGTGCCATGGAAAGGCGGCCTATTGGACGGTGATGATGACGATGATCGTAGTTGCTGCTGCTGCTCTTGCTGCTGTAGTTGCAGATCATGATAGGTAAGGGAGCAGAAACCCATGTTGGGATCGTTAAAGCACGATGTTATTTGCTTTGAAGTCTCGGTTTGGCCATTGAGGTGTGAAGCTACGAGCCGATCAAGTGCTGTCCAGTCACGAAGGCCTGTTTCATCATTGTCTGTGAGCATCTGTTGTTGTTGAATTTGTTGATAACAAGGTTGGCTATTATTTGTAGAGTTTGGGCTCTCGAGACTCGGAAGCTTCATGAACCTGTCATGGAGGCCGTGTTTGGTGATGGTTGTGGTGTCAATGATGGGCATGAGAAATCCTGGAGTGTTGTTGATTGTTGAATCATGATGATCTTCCTTCTTGCAACTCCTTCCCAAGTAGTGAAGGATTTGTTCTAAGGTGCCTTCGTCGCTTGAAGTGGGTATTTGGGTTCTTGTTGTTTCGAGATTGATTATAGATGAATTGAAAGGGCTACTGCTGTTGTTGTCTAGGGTTTTGTGGTGGTTTTTCTTCTTGAAGATACGACAGACCACCCATCCCTCTTCTTGTGTTGCATCTCCGGTGGCATCGGGAACCTTCATGTCAATATGTCCATTAATTAATTTACAAATCACATAATTTTAAATAATAACATACGATGATATATTGATTAATATCAAATAATAATACGTCAAGTTGAGGGGGACTTCTAGTCCACCTCTTGAGTATGTCTTAATAATTTAAAATGTTGAACTTTTGTATAATTTTCAAAAAAATCATTTATATAGAAAATCAAATAAATTTGATCACATTTATTTTTTGAAAAATTAACAACTTATTTTTTGAAATTAAAATTATAATTGTTGTTCATGTTTTTATAATAAATATGATTTAAATATATGATTATCGATATTCATTTAATTTATTTTTTACATAAATAATTTACTAGACACTATACTATGAATGATTTGGTTTAAAGAAGTAACTCGAGATGAATCTGAAGACCATCAGGTCCAATTAGTAGTGCCAAGAGAATCATTCTGATATCGGTAAATATTGGTATGACTCCAAAATCTCTTACACGTATTAACCAATATCAACCATGTAGGTAGTAGTTTTTTTTAGATGGTATATAGGTAGTAGTTTGTGACAATCAAATTAGAAATTAGAAATAGACATAAACAATAAGTTGGAACAAGTGAAATAGGGTAGCTTACATTATTGGTATCACAGATGTTGTCATCAAGTCTATACTCATGCATGATCCAATCAGACTTTTGGCCGTGAGGAGCACGGCCTTTGTAGAAAACCAGGGTCTTCCTCATCCCAATCCGCTTAGAGTTGCTGTAGATCACCTTATCACGGCCCGTAGCCTTCCAAAACCCAGCCGCAGTGGCTCGATTTGTTCGAGTACCAGTCGGGTACTTTTTGTCTTTGTGGCTAAAAAAGTACCAATCATTTTGCGGTGTCGAGCCTATTCTACACTTCTCTGTGAATCAATCAAAGTGTAAACAAAACATCAGCTATAAATATATGAATATATAAATAACGGTATCAGGAGACGTAGCAGTGTTTTACAAACCTTGAATATCCCAAGGTTCAAGCTTGTTGAGATCGACATCGCGAATAACGTCCAAGTCGATCTTCTCGAATGAAACCTTCTTCCGCAGATAATATTGCAAGAGTTCCTCTTCTGTTGGATGAAACCGAAAGCCAGGAGGGACCTGAGATTGCCCATTTACGGATATGCTCATGGTTTTTTCTGGCATTCGGACAGAGCTAGCTTACACAAGTTTGGAACTAGTAAAATTGGTGATCTAAGACATTGAAAGAGGAAGCTTCACAGAGAGAGAGAGAGAGATGTATGACTATGAAAGAAGGGCTAGTTATAAGACATTGGTGTACTCAAACACATGGGTATATGTAGAGGATAGTGTGGATTTATATGTGTTTGTACGACATTAAAAGACAAATAGGGGGTACAAGCCAAGCCTTTGTTTTCATGTTCTTCACTATGCTTCGAAAATGGCCACCTAACTGCATATAGATGGAGAGAGAAGAAAAGTTGTTTGTCAATTATTGGGAAATAATATTTTACATAATTTTTATACAAAATTATCTATTGGAAAATAATAACACTACAGTGATATCTTTATTATTAAATATTATTTTAAAATAATAAGTTTGAAGGTAAGAGTATCGTTTTATATATAAATTTTATATTATTTTCTTTAAAAAATACTGCACAAATATATATATATATATATATATATTTTAATAATTTGATGTGGTATTGAGCGTTCAAACTTTAGATTATAAAATGTGACAGTTTATACATAGATGTGTTAAATCAAGTTTGTAAAAAAATATTATTACATCAATAAAAGTCAAAGGTTAAGTTAAAAAAATAGAAATTTACACAACTCTCTTGCGTGTTTAGTTATAAGAGGATTATAAGTTCAACACTCCTTAAGGAGGAGTTGAATTAAGATGTGAATATATACTTACTTTGTAAGAGTGGGGAGACTAATTTCTATAAGTGCTAATCAAACAATTAACAATTGATTTTGCCCAATTAAAAAAGAAAAGAAAAGAAAAGAAAAGATAACATGACTCTTAATTATTTGAGAAATTGATTTGAAAAATCATTAGGTAATTTTATAACAATTATTAGATGACATTTCTTATGTTAAGAAGATGAGTTGTTTCATATTTTTTAATTACTTAATAAAAGTGAGTTCATATTGTACGTAAATATAAATATAAAATGATGTTACATTTCTTAATATATCACTCTTATTTTGACATCTAATGAGCTAGAAGAAAGAAATAGAAAGAAGAGAGAGGAGTGTAGGTCACCCTCTTCACATGATTCATTCTATGTTATTAAGAATAAATTAAGTATATTTTATAAATATAATATTTTGAGAATAGTGAATAATTAGTCAATTTTTGGGACAGAAATGGGAAAAAAGAATGGAGGGCCCAGTGGAGTAGGGACGTTTTGGGAAATAAAATTGCAGAGGGAATGCCAACATCATAACTACGACCTGTGACCTTAAAATATCCTTGGAAAAGCCACACCTAAACTACCTTGCACTTCTTTTTCTTTGTTTCTGAAGAGTGAGTGTTTTGTTTTATTATTTAGTTACTAGAGAGTGCAACACAACCACCGCAACAACAAAGTAGAGGAGAGAGAGAGAGAGATGATAGAGTCGGAGGCACAGAGCTTTCAACATCTCCTTTTCGGGAAACATGGAAATGATGTGTGGGGGAAAATATTGCATGGTGTTGTGGGGCTTTTCTCTCTCTCTCTCTCTCTCTCTCTCTCTCTCTTCTGTTACTGACCGTGGATACGATACTACTTATTTTATTTTATTTATTTATTTTTTCTAAATACGTAGGTGTTACAATTGGTGGGAGACTCTTCAACCTACGGCACGTGGTTTTTGACTTCTTCCCTCTCTCAATTCAAACAACTTTATTATTCTCAAAAAATTAGAATAGTTATATATATGAAAAATGAGTGAAATCTCATTTTTAAAGGATTTTCACAATTTTCATAGTGATTTACACTATTTATGATATGTGAGGCCCACTCATAAATGGTGTGCAGCATTATAGCGGTTGTGGCGTCTTTCAAAAAAAGAATTTCTATCATTACTATATATATACACGATTGGCAGGTGTGTGATTTAAATAAACAAAAATAAAATAAAATATTTATGGTATATTGTACATTATTCAAGTGGTAAAATTTTTCTTCATTAGATTTAAAATTTAAAGTTTGAATCTCATTCTTTTCATTTATCAATTTTTTTTTTTGTCAAGATAACAGAAAAAGTGTTCATTTTATAATTGTATAAATAGATATATGTATACACACCATTATATAAAGAAATTACACAAAATAATATAATAGATTTGTGTCCATTTATTTTAAAGGGACTTAAATTTCATTTACATTTTATCCTTGTAACAAATCAAAATTTGTAATTTTGGCATGGCTGGGATGGAGAGGGAGGGAGTGGGAATGGCCGGAAAGGAGTGGGGGTGTTCCTGTGGAAAGAGCAGGGGTAGGGGTAGGGGTAGAGGTGGGAGAAACAATATTGGAAAGCTAGGAAATGGAAAAGAGTGATCCTAAAATTTAAATTACCTTTTAGATTTAATTAAAATATAAATTATTTTTTGTGATTTTTAAAATTATATTTCACTCTCTGAGGTTTTCAATTTTATAACAAATCATCATTTTTAATGATGTTACAAATATTTTTCAATTAATAATTTATATAATTTTATTATTGTATAGGAGACCAATTATGAATTTTATTTTTTTAATTAATTCTGCTAAACAAAATTTTTTGACAAAGAGATATTTGTAATTTTTTAAATTACAAGAGGTAATCTATACTTTAAGCAAACTTTAGGGGTGCATTTGTAATTTATCCTTAAATCAATGGCGCCGCCAAAACTTGTTTCAAGAATATTAAATAATTTTTACTTAAGTTGTGTTTGGTTGAAAAGATTTGATGAGAAAAATAAAAAGAAAAAATGAAAGAAAGAATAAGAGAAAGAATTGATAGGATTCGGATATGAAATTATGTTTGATTGAGTTGAGAAATAAAAAGAGAAAAGACCTAAAAAATAAAAAGAGAAATTACATTTCACTCTTACTTTTTTTTTTCTTTTATGTTTTTCATTATAACCAAACAAAATGTACGATTATATTTATTTTCACTTTTTATTTCTCTCATCAAATACTCTAATCAAACGCATCGATCCTTAGTTAAACCCAATGGTTGATTGAATTTCATTTAAAACAATCAAGTTTTATGATACTTGAACCAATTAAATAAGAGGAGGATTTATTAGTCACCTAGTGGGTGAATGAACAGAGTTGGAGTCCATAGTCTCGTATGTACATTGAACTTGATACACTTGTATTTACAAGTAACATTGCAGATCAATTAATTAGCACCGACAGTTGTCATATATTTTAGATTAGATTAGATTAGATTTTTTTTTGAGCACCGAGTAGATTAGATTGATGCACACTTGTAAGTAAGCGTAAATAATTAAATCATGAGAAGGAAGAAAACAAAGGCTGAGTACTAGTACCACGTACAACAACGGTAATCCCAAAACTTGTTGGGGGTAATATATTAAGGATATATTATACCCCTTAAAATTTAATTAAAATATGAATCATCTCTTTTGATTTTAAAAATTACATTTCACTTTTTTAAGTTTTTAATTTCATAACAAATCGTTTTTTTTATTAATAAATAATCATGTCAATTAATAGTTTTTAATAATATTAAAAATATGAATATATTTTAATTAATAATTTAGGTAATTCTATTATTGTATAGGAGAACAATTATGAATTTCATTTTTTTAGTTAATTCTGTTAAATAAAAAATTCTAATAAGGGAGTATTTGTAATTTTTTAAATCACAGGAGATAACCTGTATTTTAAGCAAATCTCAGGGGGTGTATTTGTAATTTACCTTAATATTAAATAATTTTTATTTAAATTATGTTTAAATAGAGAATTTGACGAGGAAAATGGAAAGAATAAAATACAAAAAAGTGAAATTTTTTAAAACTCTCGAAATATTGATTTGTGATTATGTTTTAATTTTAAATAGTGAATAGTAATCTTAATCAAATAATCAATAACAGATCGACACAACGATTTAATGTGAAAAAAATCACTATTAGACTCCTCTAGTTGTGATAAAAATTACGGACCAAAACTACAAAAATAACCCACTAAGAAGATAAAAAGAAATTACACATGAGAATTTTAATTACTTAGTGAATCCACACTTGGATTGATCTGAACTCAATATGCCTATTCCACCACTGTCTTTACATTGGAATTGCTTTGTCCAAAGTTGAATCCACAACACCGATGTTGAATCTACAACGATGAACTACTCTAGAATCAACCAAAACTTCAGGCCTAAGTTTTCCAGAATCCACTGTTGAAAACCTCCTTCTATTTGTAAATGAAATAACAAAATAGCCCTTGATAATAGTCAATATGAAACTCGTTCATCAATCGATCACCCTAAATCATCAAGGAAAACATTACATAAATATTCTCTAATATAGAACATTTTGTTTTCTCTTTATCTTTAAGAATCTGGACAGTTTAAACTTTAAAAATAACAAATAGCGCACTTTATATTAAATAAAGCGAAGATCACTCGAGTATTCACTTTTATCACTCGAGTGGTGTGACTAAAGGTAGTGCTCACATATAGGCCAACGGCTCGAGTACAACATCTACTGCTTGAGCGGTAAAACATATTTTCCAAAAATTCAGAATACAGGTAAAAATACTGGATGAATCACTTGACCGCTCGAGCGCAAGAAAGATCGCTCAAGTGGTTAATCAACTTGACTTCTTGGCTTCTGGGGAGTTACCCCTCGACCACACTTGGGCGTTGCCCTAGACCTAATTCCTGTTCTTAGTTAGCGAAGTAGCAAATAAGGATTGCTCAAGTCAAAATACGGAATGTCATCGCAAACTCTTCTATACAAGCACAACTCGAGTTGGATTCACATTTAAACTCTCATAACTTACAGATACAATAGAGTGAATAAAATTACAACTAAAAAGAGTTTTGTCCAACGGGATTGTTAATTACAAAAACCTAACAGAAAGAATGAGAGAAAAAATTGATTCGATTCGAATCCCACGTTATATTTGGTTGAGTTGAAAAAAAAAATGGTAAATTATAAATACACACTATGAGATTTGATTAAAATATGAATTGTCTCATGTGGTTTTGGAAATTACATTTCACCTCCTAAGATTTCTAATTTCATAACAAATTGTTCCTTTTATTAATAAATCATCAAGTCAATTAACAGGTTTTAATGATGTTAAAAATATGTTTTAATTAATAATTTAGATGATTTTATTCATGTATAGGAA